TGACATATGAGGTGACATAAAAAATCACTTGATAATTATCATACTACCAATGGTATCTGTGTCGAAGAGTAAGCAGGTTAGATAAGGTAAATTTAGCATTTATTAGTGTGAAATATTTCCATGTCATGAATTAAAAGTCAATCTGAACGAAGAATATTCCTTTCTTACAGGATTTCATCATGAGCTGACATTAGTTAGAGAACCATTGGACATTAATTTGCTTTGCCACTTGACAATTAACTACCATTATAATCACAAACATCTTAGTTTTAATTGAACTTCATATTATTATTATTATTATTGTTTAATGCATTCACACCTAAGATTCAATTCACTCACCTGACATAACTTCTCAAAGGAAAGTCATCCAACCACTTCTACTATAATGTCAACAACCGTGTTGACTTCCAATGACTTGGTGTTTGTGTGCTTGTTTTCTTTTTATTTTCTAACTACTAATGACATTTGTGCGTCGGTGTCACAGCGGTCAGGACGCTCTCCGACCATGCACATGGTCCGGGGTTCGATCCCCGGCCACAGACGCACTCCTTTAACTTGATAAGCCGGAAATAAAAGCTGGTAAGGAGGAAAGGTTTGTCAAGAGGCTAGCAACCTCACCCTGTAAAAATAAACACTGTAACAGAAACTTCAAGCCTCTAGCACCCATAGTGGCCTTTGTTTAGCCAAGTGGAATAATGTTCTTTGACTCGTTTAGGTAAAACACACACACACACACACATCGAACGACCTGCATATATCTCACTCGCTCCACAGGAGCAAGTAAATTGGTAGATAAACAAATATGTCTGAAGATTCCTTAGCAATCAGTGTTGGGCCAGAAAACTCACCCATTCACTAAATCCTAATAGATAGTGATATGTGTGTGAGGTCCGCCTGAATGGATCTGTTAGAGGAAGGAAGGGAAACGTTATCCGTCATTGTCTTTTCATAGTCTCCGCTTACGCCTCAAATGACAACAGTTTAGTTTAAATGAACTAAAGGGATGATTTCTGCCAGAAACTGTCTAGTTTTCTATAAAAAGCAAAACGCTCAGGTTTAGTTGTTTTAGCAGGCGACTACAGTGTCCAAGGTGGACAGTTATTCCAGACTGAGAAGTATATCGGTGGTGGTATCAGTCAATCAGTGAGTCAGTCAGTCCACTTGAGGGCCTGAACTTACCTCGCCTTACCTGCTTTATTACTAGCTAGTCGTAACCTCTAGAAAAAAAATTGGAAGTTATGATGTCAGACTAGGGACCCTACACCCCAAAGAACACAAAAATATAAACCTACTTACCCGTACATATCACATTTATGGATACATGAAAAATGAATCTTTGCCTTGTGTTCATTCCTTCTTGTATCTCTACATATCTCGTCTGCTTCCCACACTCTAATAATTCCCATTGTAACATTAAGAAGACAATATATTCAGCGAAAGGACTCTTTTCAACAATGAATTTATTATCAAGCTGTATAGTCGTATATATATATACGACTATACAGCTTGATAATAAATTCATTGTGAGATATATGCAGGTCGTTCGATGTGTGTGTGTGTGTTTTACCTAAACGAGTCGAAGAACATTATCCCACTTGGCTAGACAAAGGTCACTATGGATGGTGTAAATGAAGAGATATTAAACACTGGTAATTCAATATGCAAAGGAATTCATTCAATGAAATTTTCAGCGTGTATTAGTGCAGTATTCCATCTAATTTTCTTATTAGATGGGCAATAATTAAAATGGGACGTTTACATAAATAATAATTTACACTTATAATATTATCCAATAAGAAATGAATATAAAATTTAATCAAGTGAGAATATTGACGATAATGCGATAATGAAAAAAAAGACAGAACAGTGTCGTCTACTTAGAGTACCTCTGTAAGTTGGCAATTTCCTGTCTTACACTTTTCTCACCACATAAAATGTGATCCGACCGGCTGAATAAGGTATTGTAGAGTTTTTATGCTTAGTCGTCCGAGCAGTAAGTCTTCTATAATAGCTTCTAGTTCCCCTATGTGATGAGATAGACGAAAGGAGAGAGTTGTGTATGGAGAGGATGTTCAGAGTCTGACATTGAATAATAATGGCTAAATTCTTGCAGGAATTCAAATGTCTATCTACAATAGTATTAACAAGTTGGTTTAATAACAATCCCAGTCAGTCTCCCTACTGACAGCTTTTAATGCCTGCCCTTAGCAGTGTAACTAAGTCTTTTGAAAGTAGCCCGGGGACGGTTAAGGGCGCGGGCGCAGTACAGAATTATGGGCAGAATTCAAGAATTAATAAACGGTAACACTAGAGACCGAATGATACCAAATTGTCTTAACTTTCTCACATTGAACGTCAAACAAAATATCTCTCTGGAAACTAACATGGTGTGGAAAGACGAGGAAAGGTGATGAGATGAAATACACACCTCAGAGTATTCAACATTCTGTTCTGTTTCGAATTCACTACCATCTGTGATAGTGGAACCGTGCTAACTAACCAGTTCATGTATGTCACTCTTGCATCTGAAAGTGAAATTAACCACCTGACATTTTTGAAGGGATTACGCTAAAGGTCATTTGACGAGGACCACTGACTTATTTCCGATAAGAAGGTATTCATGTTGGAAGAGTTTGCCTGAGAAATCACCGCTGGCATAGAAACAGTCAGATGGATCATCGGCATACTTAACAAAATTGTTTTCATCAGAATGAGGTGAGTCATGTAAGAAAAAGAAAGAAAACAGAGAAGGAGAAAGAAAGAACCGCATCTTGAATTAACAACACCAACTAGAGTAAGTGAAGGAGGCAGTGAAGGACTTTCCACTGCAATACAGTGTGCTACTTCCTATCAGAAAGATAGAAATGCGACCAGTGATACAGCTAAGTAAGTGAATGAATTCTCTGAAATGAGACTCTTCACTGAAATCTTTGTTCATGTCTGGATGGGCGGTTTTCGTGAACTTTCTGTTTGTCTATCTCTCTATCTGCCTGAATTTTCTTACTAATCTATCTCACAACAGGTTATCGAGGTTGCTTTAATGAAATACATTCATATAAACATTTGGAGTGTGTCAATACTTTTCAACTGTTGATTTTTATAGGATTTCTTCATGAGCTGACATTGGTTAGAGCATCATTGGAAAACCTGCGGGGAGTACTGTACAACTGTTTAATTCTAGTTTATTTATTGCATTCTTGTAAATAAGGTATACCTAATACGCGAAATGATGAATATTTCACCAGAGAGACAGGGAGAGACAGAGGGACGGAGAGGACAGAACAATAACAATAATAATAATAACCAGGCTAACTGTTCTAATTTTTTTATCACCATACACATTATAACTCAGCAAGTACAATGAAGAGAAACAAAATACTGACAATACAGACAAAATAACAACAACAACAACAACAACAAAAGGTTTACCTAAGGAGAAACGAGAAAAAATTCCTTTCAAACGATCAATATCTGTTTAAATGCAGATCTTGTCAATATAACAGTTTGTATGTATATAATCCTGTACACTAGAGTTTGATTGGTTTCAGTTTCGGGGGAAGGAAAACAAAATATGCCTCTTAAACTAGGAATTTTGGACGGAAAACTTTAAAAAATAAATGAATAAATATACATATATAATTGCTAACTGAATAACTAACTAACTAGTAAATTAGTGGTATCGCTCATTATAATAAGGGTTTTATGCATTTGCCAGTGAATGAATGAAAAAGAGCAAGACGATATTGGTGTTGTTGGTTTTACTGACTGACGACGTTACGCTATTTAATGCTGCTGCTGCTGCTGCCGCCGCCGCCGCCTCCGCCAATAGCTTTATCATCAAAGGAGTAATATTAAACCAGAAGAATTTACAAAATCCACTCAGCTTACATATATACACACAGCAACTTAATCGTCGTTCCTCAGCATAGGATGATTTTTGCGTTGTCAAGTTTACCAATTGGTAAAGATAACAAGACCAAGTATGTGTAGATGACTGTTGGATTCGACAAGTGTATAAAACTATACAAAAACAGTATGTATTTACATAATGAAACTGCTTATCACATTCGTGCTGATTTTGTCATTTCCCAAGGGAGGAGGGTGTTGTAATCAGGTCAACTTCTGTTTTGGTCCATCATCCATATTTAGTTCAGATAATTTAGATTTCATTTGAAATAAATTGCTTCCAATGATATTAGACATTGCTCGTGCGTGTGCTCGTCTAAGAAGACATGAAACAACCGCTACTATTGTGCCGATGAGGTGTGATGATCCAAAGTCTTAATATTTATCGGAGTGGTTTTTTTTCCTGAATATGTTCGTTTTCCCTCCTCCTAACTAGCGAGGCAGTCTAGAAGTGGTAGTTCCCCGACATCTGATTCTGCCTACTATCAAAGTAAAGTGGATTCTGGGAGGTAGATTTTTTTTTATTTTTCCTAATAATGAACTGTGTAGATATCGTTTTAGCATTACAAAAGTATCACCTACATATCTTCGCCATATTTTAGGAGTGAGTATGCTTGAAAAGGCGTTGTAAAAGGAGACAGAATAGAGACAGAGAGAGAGAGAAAATATACGTTTAAGACAAATGGTGAAACCGTGTGCGACTACAATTGATTGATGTGATTATGAGTGGCAATAATTTATGCTGGACAGCTTGTCTATCTGTCATCCAGTTGTTAATACTGCGTCATCATCATTGTGTGTGTGTGTGTGCTATTGAAAATAAGCTTATCTAATATGGTTTTGTTTGATTGGATGAAGGATGTCAGCTGACGATGAAATCCTCCATCCCTATCTAATATATGGAATTATTTGTAAGAAACACTCCTTAATTTGTCGTCCTATCAAACATTAAAAAAAAAACCTACCACCACGACTCAGACAAATAAATAAAATTATTCATTTCGATGTTGACTAGACAATTAGGAAAATTGTAACGATACGGAAATGATTTATGATAGTACATAAGAATAGCAATAATAATAAAAATAACTTACATCCTGGTGGAACTTGTAGAGGATGTCCTGAGGCATGACAATATCCAACAGGAAATAAATCAAGAGATCCCACCTCTACGCGTATATTGTATTTATCAGACCAACCATCATATCCAAGGGTGAGAAATCCTGGTGGCATGTTGTCTACAACATTGGCAACACGAATTAGTGATGGACACCGTTTGTCCACAGCTTCTAGACGTTGGTTAACCTGGAAGTGTTGAGATGATTTGGTAAATTTTGTAGCCTATAAAAAGAAAGAAGCGCATAAGAGATGTGTGACAAAACCGTCAGAAACAGATAGTCCTCTTGATTTTTTACTATAAACCTTATAGAATGATAACGATGATGGTGGAGATGTTGACGTTAACAACTCCGAATTCCAGTTGTAACTATCCTAAGAGGAGCTGTGATGATGATGATAGAACATTCACCTTCAGTTATACTTCTTTATTATAGTCAACATTTGGCTTTCTCATTATTATAAAAAATAATCTGTTAGTATTTTTCAGTGAATAATGAAAAACACAACGACATTGACGTTTTTCACTGAGATGTTTCACTGTTTATTGCTGCTGCTAATAGCTCTACGAAAGGAGGAGTAACATTAAGCCGGAAGAATGTGTACAAAATCTCAGACAAGCACACTCTTTGATTTTAGGGGGATGTGAAGGAAAAAGAAAACGAAGAGGATATTGGAATAGAGCCTGTGCACTGTGGTGGTGGTGGTGGTAGTAGAGTATAATTCCATAAAAGATAAAATTTGTTTTGATAAAGTTTCACAGTGTTTTTCATAGAGTGTTATATATTTACTGGCAACAACGTTTCGAGCACAATTTATTGATGCTCATCATCATCATCATATCAAGGCACTACTCACACACAACTTCTTAATTCCGTTTTTATAATTCCATTATTTTCCATCGCTTGACTTAATTGGTAGTATTAGTATTTTCCATATCTCCGGTATGAGTGATGATGAGTCATTCCTATTGCACTTGTTGTGTTGGGTGTAGACTCGATGAACAAGGATTCAGTCAGTAGCCAATCTCTCTCTCCACCTATCTAGATTACTTTTTAGAATTTTAACCCTCTCCCACCCTGTGGACTTTTGGTACTAGGTGGTTGGATGTAATCGTCAGAATGCCTTGGAACTAGGTTTCGTGCTAGTTGGAACTCACCAGCGAGGCGTCTCTGCAACCTCGAAGGAACTCATGTCCAATGTGAGATCCGAACCCGCGTCACTCACTGACTACTTCAGTCAGTTACTTCAGTTACCACTGAGCTATTCAGACTCGCAATTGACCTCCTGTAGGACTGACTGTATTGGATATTTTGATTGAGCACTAGTCAGTAATTAGTGTAACGTGTCTCGTCCTGCATTACACTAGTGTTACTGACTATTGTCCAATCAAAAAATCTCTCCCACCATGCTACTGTGTGGTTGTGTGTTAATGGATGCAGTGCAATGTGGTGGTGAGTCATTTTTTCTAAATTACTTATCTTCGTGGGGTCGACCATTGTAACGTTAGCTAAATTCTTATGTTCCGACAATCTGACTATCCTCAATCTACTGGTTTGACCCACCTATGTAGGTAGTTGACCTAACTCACAGTGAATTCAAGGTATTTGGTAAATTATATCATTTTGTTCAATTGGGTCAACAACCTAGAGGCTTCTTTACCCTATCTAGAGAGCTTGTACTATCTGAGTGAGTGAGTGAGTTTGTTGGTTTAAATACCACCACCCTAACTGCTGCTTTATTAAGAATACCACACAGGGTCTCAGATGTCCACTGCTTATATAGTATACCAGTAGATGACTTATATTCTCTCTTATTTATGTTAGTTATCATCATTAGTTTCACCATTATTTATATTTTGCTTTTGTCCTCTTTTGAAACACATGACAAAGAAAACGGAAAAGGAATACTCACTGTCCGTAAACAAGGAGCCATTTTTTATACGACTGCCATTCAAGGGCGATATACGAAGTCAGATAATTACGAGGAAATTAAGAAAATCAGTTCTAAGAACTTTTAATGCTGGCGAAATACACGTGTTATTCTCTACATGACCGATGGTGCTACCTCGACTAAAAAATGAAGTACCTAGACTAGCTGGCCGTTTTATATTGCATCTACCAATTCAGCTGCGCTTGTGGAGGGAGTTATATTGGCCGTTGCTCTAGGAACTTAGTTTTTCTTGCTCACTCGGGAACACCTCTCACACTATAGCTAAGTAAAGGTGTAGTGAAAACCATCAACAGTTCGATATTGGACCATCTGATGCAAACCGGCCGGCTGGCCACAAAGCCAGCCAGCATTGAAGAATCCTTCTCTATAATCTACCGGGTGCCTTGTAAATTGCCAAAACCATCATCGAAGCACCGCATGCTCCAAACAGCAGAGGCTACTGCAATTCACCCAAAACAACCAGTGCTCTGTGTTCAAAAGAAGCAAGTCCAGCCCCTACTACTGCCCTGACTTGCCTTCATTAAAGACTAATAATCCATGACTCGACCGATAGCTACCTTGACGTGGTGGTCGGGCTTGCACATCGCGATGACCCAACAAGCCGCACTGGCTGGAACCAATGTTCCTGCAGGTCCTACCATGCCACGAAGATTGTTACTATAGCGATTAGACTAAAAGCAGTTAACGGCATAGCGTAAGATTTTTTTACACTATGATAGGGGTCTGTGGGTGATATCGTACTGCTGGGGAATAGGGATGTAACAACAGTAAGGTGTTTCCCTAAGGTGATCAGAATGGCAGCTACCTATGCTGTCTTTCCACTCCGGAGAGAAGGGGTTAGAAATGGTCGACCCCAAAAATTGTACATCCCGACTTACCCTACGGTGGTCCGTAACCGGCGGTAAGTTTACTAATACGGAACCAATCTCAGAAACCAGTTCAGACAGGCCGTGTGTGATCGGCCTCAAGCAGTTGTCTCCTGGGCTCTGCGGTCATGCAACACTAACCCTCTTCCTATTTCAGGTACCCGAAGAATTAATTAACTTCCACTGTGTGGGCAGCCGGGAATTAATAACCACCCACACACCTCCAAAAGCACACGAAGCCTTCCTGAGCATCATTCTCCTTTCCTCACATCACCTTCTTCATCTTGCTTCTCTACTACAGTTAGTACCATTCTGCAGGCTAGTGAGTTATCTTCACTTCACTCTGTGACCACAAACAACAGTGAGAGCCACAGAAACACCCCCAGATGGCCTTTCAAAGCCACGTCGTCAACTTCATATAGGAGCATTTAACGTCAGGACCCCCTGCCAAATCTGTCAACAGACATCACTAGCTAGAACTCTGGCATCTGGGGCCATATATGTATGTTGTGTTTCGGAGACACGCATACAATACCCGAGTGCGGTCATTCATTTAACCTCACCTGGTCAACAAAGTGAATCTGCAAAATTCACTTTAAGGGTGTCAGGAGACCCTTCAACTAATTCGCTAGGACTTGCAGGTGTAGGGATAGCGCTGAGTGTTAGGGTGGAAAAATCACTTCTCGACTGGATACCAGTAGATAGTCGTATGTGTGCGGTCCGTCTGGATGGGTCCGCCAAAAGAAGGAAAGACGGTGCTACCCGTCGTTGCATTTTCGTAGTCTCCGCTTATGCCCCAACAGACTGCAGTGCGGATGCACTAAAGGATGGCTTCTACCTGAAACTGTCTAATTTGCTGCAAAAAGCAAAACGCCCAGATATAGTTGTTTTAGCGGGCGACTTCAATGCCAGACTGAGAAGCATGTAGGTGGTACGTATGGAGTTCCCTGCCGACGAACCAACAATGGTGATCGTCTTCTACAGTTTTGCTAGGATAATCATCTATTCCTAGTCAGTACTAACTTTAGGGACAAGGAGAGACATCAAATCAACACTGGACTCAGATAGACCACATAGCCATAGGGTATCGTTGGCGAAGGTCAGTAGAAGACTGTCGCTCCTTCTGGAACACATGAGTAGACACGCTCACGTTTTTGCCTACGACTAAACAGACATAAGAAATTGGCGGCAACGAAACAGTTACGTCCACAACTAGATCGAGATACTGAGTCCCTATTTAAGGAAGAAGTAGCGAAACGAGTGTCTGAGGTCGACAGCAGGACTTACCCTGAGGTAGCCTGGCACATCATACAGTTAGCTGCAGACACAGCTGTAAAAGCTGTTAATAAGCTAAAACCAAAAGTTAGTAAGAGCAATTGGATCTCTACCGCCTCATCCGAACTGATTGATGCAAGAAGACTGATTGTGATGAGCTCCAATTATGATGAGGAGGAGCGAAAGCTACTCAAACGAAAACTAACAAAAAGTCTTCGCAATGACCGTGAACATTGGTGGGCGACAAAAGCGAAATAGATGGAAAAGGCATCGGCGATTGGTAACACCAGACAACTATTTAGGCTTATCAGGGAAAAAAGTGGTAAAGGGCAAATGATAAGTGAAATAATCTCGGAGAAAAATGGCGCCATAATTAGCTCCCAGGATAGACGCCTGGAAAGCTGGAAAGAACACTATGAGTAGCAGTTTAATTGGCCTACAGCCACGCTCAACCTACCGAACATCAAACACCTCCCTGAATGGGATATAGACACAGGTCCTCCGTCCTTAGCTGAGGTTACTAAAATTGTCACTAGTCTGAAACTAGGCAAGGCAGCAGAACTGGATGGAATAACTCCAGAGGTGTTTAAGAATGGTGCAGACAGTTTACTGTCTCCGTTAACTAAAGTATTAGACAGCGTCTGGGAATCAGAGGACGTCCTGTCGGCCTGGTGTAAGTCACTCATTATCCCGATATACAAGAAGAGAGACAAGTCTTCCTGTGATAATCACGGGGGGAATAGCTTGACAAATATGTTATCTAAAGTTTTAAGCTCAATAATCGTTCTTAGATTGAGCGATTTTCGGGGAATACAAAGACGAGAGAACCAGAAAGGCTTTAGACCATGAAGAGAGTGACTTCATCTTATCTTCACTCTTCGACAGATTCTTGAACATAGGCATTCTTACCGGCGTCCAGCAACTAACATATTTCTTTAGCTGAAGGTGGAATTCGACTCTTTACACCCAGAGGTACTATGGTGAGGTTTGGCTGTGAAGGGAGTGACGGGAAAATACATCGTACCAATCAAAGCAAATCTACTGGAACACATACAGCCAGCCAGGTGAGAGCCTATGTAGACTTGTCATCTGACAACTGTGATGACATCCAGTAGTGTTCGTCAGAGATGTCTACTGTCCCCATTTCTGTTTAATTCCATCAAAAATGTACTAATGGACTTAAACCTAACTGACTTGAGCGACTAAGGGATTGACTTGTTACCGCCAGGGGATAATCTCGTTGACTTAGAATATGCAGACGATATAGTCCTTCTAGGTCAGGAAGCTGATAAAATGCAGAGTCTTCTGAACACCTTGAGCTGCAATCTACGAATGTTTGGTATGCGATTCGCTCCCGACAAATGTAAGATGATGTTACAGGACTGGACTACACTGCTTCCTAGTTTAGAAATAGGAAGTGAAGTGGTAGAGAACGTTGACCACTTCACTTATTTGGGAAGTACCATCAGCCAGTGCCAACGGGTTGATCTCTGACGAAATCTCAATACGCATACAGACGGCTAGTTTCGCATATGCCCGCCAGTTTACGCCGTCTCTGGCTTAGTAGACGTGATATCCGTCTGGCTATCGACCAAAAAAGGGCGGGTGTACTGCTCATCAGTCCGCTCCGTCCTCCTTTATGGTTGTGAGACCTGGCCACTGAGAGTGGAAGACATGAAAAGATTAGCTGTCTTTTATCATAGTTGCCTGCGCTCTATCTCCCGTGTGAAGTGGTATAATAAGGTGAGCAATATTGAGGTTAGGCATTGGCCCAGTACTAAGTAAGGAGGCGAAATCAATCAGCGAGGCTGTGAAATTACGCCGACTGAGATGGTTAGGGCATGTGTTTCGTATGCATGCCTAGCCATCAACTTCCTCGACGAGCAATGTAAGCTGATATAGGGTCAGGCTGGAAAAGAGCTAGCGGCGGTCAAACAAAAACATGGCACCAGTCAATGAAATCCACAACAGTAAGTTTGAGCCAGCCACGCAGGAAGGTGTAGACTTCCTGGTTGGGGTCCTCGGGACGGTAAAAACCAATGGTTGGAAACAATTGGTGACATGGCTCAAACTCATCGTTCTCAATGGCTGGCACAGATGCATCCACTCCTTGTGATTTATGAAATCCGATGAAACTATATTGTTCTTCGTTATTACTCTTCCTTTTTCTCACACCTCTGCTTACTGTCTCTATTATGCATTTCTTGTACTTTCTTCTCTTGCTTTGTGTGCTACATGGAGGGAGTGTGGCGACTTGAACTCCGGCACGACGGTGGGAAGTTCTACGTTGAAATCAGACAGACAGACAGATAAATCCATGAGTTTGTAATATTATCTTTCCTGATTTTTCTGACATTCAGCTTATTTTATGTTGATGCTATTGAGCTGTATTCTATCAATATTATTGATTTGATGTTATTTAAACAGCATTAATGTTGTTCATAACACTAATTCATTCATTCACTATAATGTGTATATATAACTGTAGAGCCTGATGATGAAGGGGTTACCGAAAAGAGTACTTTTTGTTCAGTATCCATTCTTTTGCTATTCCTAATGAATTTTATGGGGTAGTTATTCGACACCAGTTAGGTCTTTTTTTGTACTACTTAGTGTTGTTGTTATTGGCCCGTTTGTTAGACATTTAAGTGAACCTGCCTTCACAGACAGATAACGAACGGATGAGATGAATTAAAATCTAAATATCTATTAGCGCACTTTAGTATTTTATAAACGCTAGTATGTAGTCGTGTATGAGTAGTACCTTGTGCTTGAAACGTTGTTGTCAGTAAATATATAACACTGTGTATTAAAACACTGTGAGACTTTGTCAAAATTAAATTTTACCCACAATGGAAGAAGAGCTAGAAGAAATGCCAAACATTACTGAAACTCTCAAGAAGAAAACTGACTACACAAAGACAGAAGCAAGTGGAGACGTGCAGTTGAAGCCCTATGTTCCACTAGGAACCCAAGGGAATAATAATAATAATTTTGTCAGACTGGTACTGCCAACTGTTAAATCATGTGTACCATTACCACCTAAAGCAACAAGGAACTATAGATACGACAGTCGAATCCCCTTCAATAAGCCAATCAAATATGCTTCCAAGCAAAAAGCGACATTTACAATATAAAACAGTGTGTTTATTGAATATAACAGGTATGACAAAAATGTGAATTATATACGCTATATGTCTCTAAGATGCTGCAAAAAAGGGTCTCACATTCCCATAAGAGTGGTGATAATAAATAAACCACTACATGCATGAATGTCAGTCATGGGATCCACTAATTCTGATGAATGATAGTAATTATAAGCTAATAATGATGGTCACATTGGTCAGCATTTCAAATGAAAGCTACTCATAATCATTGGAGCAAGTTTCACCCTGACGCTAACTCCAAATCAGGGTGAAACTGATTGCAACTAATGATAAGTGAATCACTTGTAGGAATGAGCGATCTGATTGATCGATTAAAGGTCATTTGACTATGGTAGCTAGTCGTCACTGCTAATCACCCACCCACCCTGTAATATTTCAAGCCAAAAGCCGGCAGTGTCGTGTCTATCCACTATTCATATAAGAAGATATGCTTTAAATACTTTGAGAAATACACAAACAGGGAAAACAGACTGAAAATGTCGGGTTTAAAAAAATTTAGTTTACATTACTTCATCGAATGCTTCTTTAGGTACAGGATTTGAATTTGTCTCTTTTAAGTAAAGCTTCCAATTAAACCCGTTACGACGATTACTCCAATCTGTATAGAGTCACATAGAAAAAAGAAACCAAAATACCACAACATGTGAACAGAAGTCACCGATAGAAAAGGGTAAGTTAAGCTTAAAGCACCAGTCGACAGTCAAAAAAACATGAAGCACATTTAGTCAGACGTGTTCTGTTAAATAGGAGGAAATTAAGTGACCCACTGACCGAAGCTTTACGTCAATTGTAGGCACATTGGTTTCGTTAGCTGGATGCAACCTGATGCAATCATGAAATACGTGGGATAGTAGCAGTCAAATATGCAATCAAACAAAATCCCTACAAAACCAATATTTGAAAATAGTAGCAGTCAGCATGACTTTACCAAGATAAATTTAAGCTGAACAACCAGTTGTTGATATAAGTAAAAAAAACTTGGCCACTGTGGTAGAGCACAACTCCATTATGGATAAGATTTTATTTTGTTAAATCACACAGTGTTGTACAGTAATATTACTTCATGGAATAACCAGTTGGTTATAATGAGAGTAGGATTTCACAAAGTAGTTGATGTGCGTACGTATTTGTGTCATATGTCATTGAAACGAAAAGGTGAACAACAGATAACAAAAGGATGAGTCATGCGAATTATTGATTTTATAACACGTATCTCTTATGTATAGTCTTAATTCTGCCTTGTATACAAATTAATAAACACTTGAATAAATGTGACCTCTGTTCACTAAGACAGTTAGTTCCCTGTTCGCTATTGGATATTTTGTTTAATCTGATTACGTCATCTGAGTTGTATTCATTAAAGAATTTCTAATTAGGTTTGCAGTCTAGAATAAAATCATTTTTTCAAAAGTCAACCATGGAGCGGCTGTTGTTATTCTGTCTGCAATATATACTTGTATTGTTCTGCTTGTGCTGTACGTTTATCCTATATGTTCTTGAGCTGATGCAATTTTCTACAAACACGACTGATTGCAGGTAGGTTAATCTCCTGTGATATTCCCCTAATCAATTCATTCACAGAGAAAGGAATGACTCAATTCACTTGGATCGCTTCAACTCTTTGTGAATTGGTCGGGAAGAAAGCAAACTCACTTGTGCCATGTACAATGATTTTGTTGGAATAAACTGCTTTGGTGGATACTTGAGTGTTTTAAATTAGTCTCATCGGATTCACGTAGTTAACATTTTCGTGTCCGCGTTATTTGTGCGTGCGTTACTGATTCGGGTAGATGTTGAAATTCCGCTTGTCCACGCGATTTAGTATTTGTAAATGGCGTTATTATATCGACTCGCATTCGTTCCATGGGTTTAGGGCTAAGCGTTATTTTGTACTTGATTGATCAGTAGGAGTCACAGTAACGCCGTGTAATTTCACGTTATGCGTGTCAAGATTATTTAGAATGCACCCACCCACTCACTCACTCTCAGACATTCGAATTTCTCTTCCGAATTTAGTCCTAAGCTCGACGTCTCGAAAGCCGACAATTTTGTTGATCAGTCTGCGGAGTCACAAGACACAAGTTATATCAGGTTGACCTACTGTTGTCTTCAGACATGAAGTGGCGTGTGCTGAATTCCAGTCCGATAGGGAAAAAGGTTGACTCACTGAAATGCACAGATATATTCATCTGAGTACTTAGAATTAGGAGGAAGTTATTTTCGATGGAGTGGTACAAGAAAGTGCAGGCGATTAGTTCTAACGTGCAGGCTATTTGAATGAGCACGTTTCACTACGCTGACTGATAGTAGTTTAGCACAGTGAAATTAAACACCTTCCGTGTTGACTTGCAGTGGCGTTTCAGCTAGTAGTGAGTGAGCTAAGCTATCGAGGTATCCACTCGGTCTCTGACGTTACAACATAGTCAGTGTGTAAGTAACTGGCAATCCACTGGTCTCTGGCGATGACAAAGACAGTCAGTGGAGTTGTGAATAGATGTGATTGGATTGTGGTCTGGTATAACGAAGAGTGTTAGTGATCTCATTGACATGGTAATTAAGAGAGGAGACAGGATTTATAACCGAATGCATTAAACAGCATCACTAAAAGGCGACTCAATAAACGCCCAATCAGTGTTTTCCAGTTGACGTAGTTAGCCTAATTCATTTGTGAAGAGACTTGACTGCAACACGTACAGTTTCATAACTGATTCGGTGTTTATCACTCTGGCAGTAGACCACATGACTTCTGTGAGATCAGAGACGAGTGTTGCTCACTAATATATTCTGGATATCTAATTTCACACAGATTCACATCACTCAGAATCGAATAATCGGCGAATTGTCAATTTTCAACCAATTCATTATCAAGCTGTACGCTGCCACATGAACAGTGGGGCCAAGTTTAACTCGAAGCACCTGGAACTACGAACAGAGTGCGGCTGCATCATTGATTTTGAATGAACCAGTGAGATTCCCCATCACATCAGCTCACGCTTCCATCGCGCTGAATTCGAGTCAAATAACGTCTGTTCCAACAGAATTTCATCTGAAATTTGGTGAAGACCAAGATTTCCAGTATTACTTTGATCGCCGGGGTTAATTAGAACAGAATGCATTTGTTCATGTCAAGGTATCGTCAGTATAGTACAAAAAGCTTTAATAGATCAGTTGATAGACATGTCCATCGTTGTGGAATTTCTGTAACACAAGTTAGTGGCAGGGAAGGTAAGCCGATGATTCTGCTAACCATTTCGTAGGAACGTCTTTTTGTTAGATCCCATCTGTCGTGAACCCAGATTTCGCATATTTGTGATTACTGCGTTTTAGAACAGGCTGCGAGAGGTGCAGCTGCTGAAGCAGAAAGTAGTCTCGTATGAACAGTTCAGTAGTACTGTAACGGTAGAAGACGAGAGACTTGGTAAAGGGGTGTTTATTTGCAATTCCGTATCTCTATATAGCCAAATTATGCACACCTTATCTTCAATGCACCACTTGCACAGATCTCCCGTGTTGTGACTGCTACTTCTGCCTCTCCTTCATATTGGGATCCTTTGTTTTCCTCTCACGTCTCACATGTATCTCCGCTGCACTGTATCATTTGCTTTCACTGACATCAAATCAATCTGCCTGCTATTTGATGTTCTTATGCCAGCCGATGAACGTCGCTTTATATCCTACTATTGATGAATCTAATCAATAGCACACGCCACACTAGCACTGCAGAGATATCGCATCTTGGAAAATCGACAGACTTACTTCTTTATTCGGAGGAGATTCTGTCATTTCACACATAAATGAAACTGTCTAATCAAAGAGGAAATATAATCATAGTCGTGAACAAGCTGTTTGGTGGATTAGATTATACGATGCCTCTCCACGGAAAGGATTCATCGACAGAATCACATATAGAAAGTCAGCTACTTTATCAAACGCATTATCACTCGATTGGTGAAACGACGATCCACAATACACACAGATTAGTGGAAAGGATATAATTCGATGTCATCCCTGAGACAGATTCATTATGGAGTGAGTAAACCACGCCGGTGATTTTGTCGATCCTATCACAAGGACCTAAACCAATTCAGTTGAAGTATTTTGAAGAAGGTTGAAAAGGAGGATTAGAGTGCCATTAAAAGATCTCAGAAGGATGTTATTTCTAGTCATTTAAGTGAATACACGTAATACAGGATGTGTGGTGTGACATCTCTCTTGATGCTCCTATGGAAACCTGGGAGTCACTTTTGTCACACATCAGAGAAGGGTATCCTGTGTAACACTTTTATGCCGTCTTTATCCATTTCTTCTCACAAATATATATGCGCTTTACATGTGGAAAAAAGGCTATTTCATGTGATTGGCATGTTCAAGATAGTTTTCCGGTTGGCAGTTACTGCTACTTAAAGTGTCTGTCACTTTGCGAAGGATACACACTGGTTAGTGCAAGCTATGGAAGTATGAAAATATCCTGACTGCGTGACTGACTGACTAAGTGATTTTGACACAGAACTTTGCGCAGATGTGCAGCAGCAATTCAAGTGGTCACACTGCCCCGCTCCCCCCCTTCCCGGTGGCATTTGGCGCACAAATCAAGGGAAGAGAGTAAAGATAGATTGAAGAGGGAGAGAGATAATAAACAGAAGTGTGAACGAAGTATAAAGAATAGTAATATCGAAGAGGAACAGTGGAGCTTTATTGGACATAACCAAACAGTCAGTCAGTCACTCACGTGCCCGAATAACTAGCTCAGTATCAACGTGTCTTACTCACTGCAGTACTGACTGGATGACGTACGTTCGAATCTTAGACGGGATAAGAGTTGTTCCTTCAATATGGTTGCAGATACTCCTTGCTGGGTGATGGTGACTGCCAAGAAGTACTCAACCTAGGTGTAGACAAAGCTCCTTGCAGCCGATTCCCTCCAACCATGTAATATGACCAACAGGTGTGTATACGGAAGATCTTTCAGCATGGCGAACTAGGAATGGAAACACCTTCCATGATATTTTCAGCAGTAACCGAGTACATAACAGCAGACAGAAAGAATGAAAACACCATTTATACATTCTAGACCATGAGTGAATATGAAATAGGGACTAAATGACGTAGAACTCCGCAGAGACGTGCACCACTTCAACATGACACGGCTGTCAGTTGAGTACGACTAGAATTGTCATTTTTCTTAAGCTGAGATTTAATGAGACAATATTTTAACAAGGATATTGAGACTTCAGAGTCCGATGAACAAGTTCCGTTTTGTTTATCACATCAAATTGTTTTTTTTTCTGGATTTCATCGTGAAGTAACATCCAGCTGGTTTTCCTGAAACCAATCAAATCCCCTAAAACCAACACTTGAATGTCAGTCTCATGGACACTAGTGACCGGCCGTATTCAAGTAGGCAGTTACCTGGGTTCTAGTGAGAAGTCATCGCCAGTGAGGTAAAGCAGGTCAGGTGTGAGGGCAAATGTTCACAAAAAATGATATTGGCTAGTGGCAGTTGCCCTATATCGTGCCTGAGTTGGTGGAAGTTGGAATTCATAAACTGGCTGGCCATGGGATTGGATCGGGTCCCAGTGGCTTAATAGTCTACGAGAT